AGAAGTGAACACTAAGACACAAGACTACAAAATGCCTCTGGAAACAATGACAAACAGTTGTTTTGCCATAACGAAATTTGTGAGGGAAACTGGGAATGATTACTTGACATTTGCATGTGCAGGGAGATACAAATTAGCTGATCTTCCAGTCTTCAGTAATCACAATTTGTTTCCATGCATTAACACAAATTTTGGTGCGATTGGACACGTGGTGATTTTTCCTGGTTTTGACTGGGAAGTCATGCTAAATTTTTTAAAGGAAAATAAGGAAAACCTAGTAAAAAAACCCCAAACCACCAAGTTTGTTCTATTCATGTTTGTCTTTGGGGGGAAGCGGGGGGAAGCAGCGGGAAGAAAGGGGAGAAGTGGGAAAAGAACACGTATTCTCCAGAACAGCTTTATTTCCCTTCTGTTACAGCTCTTCCTTTCCTGTGAGAATCAAAAGTTCTTCTTTCCCAATTGTTAATGAAAGAAAACTGCTCAGGGGGGACCACAGCCCCATCGTGGAACAGATCAGGAGACGCAGTAAGCGGGTGGTCTGCCCATGTCAAAGACAACATCTAGAAAACAACAAAAACGGAAAGGAACATGCTGGGTAAAAATACTCCAGTGGAAGGGCTAATCTCCTGCTAAGCAGATGAGGTATAAGGAAAACGTGAATACCACGGAGTTTTGAGGCTGTTAGGAGTCACCTGCTTCCAGCACTAAGACCAGCCATCTCAGGGCAGCTCCTTCAGCCAGCGCTCCGTTGCGGGAGGGCTGACCTTTCAGAACAGGATTTATACGAGCTGTGACAAAGATAATGAGTATTATGTAGTCTGTGAGAAATTTCTGGAAGAAATTAAGACTATCACTACTAGTGAGAAGTTTAGATTAATGACTTTATAATGGAGGGGGTAAAATAAGGATTTTGAAAGCACTGTTACTACTAGAAATTTATCTACATTAATATTTACTAGGACCAAAATGTAGATAGGAAAGAATCAAACAAATGCGGATTTATTTCTTTTTCTGTCTTTCTTAGCAAAGGCAATCATAAGAGAGAATTCAGAGAGGGAACTAAACCATCACTTCATCTATTCCTGTTAAATGACTTCAAGCACATTTAAAAAGATGTTTTCAGAATGTTCCTGAGGAAAAACCCATAACTCCGTTGGTGCTGAGTTGCGGTAACAATGGAAAAAAATCAGAAAGTCAAACTGAGGAAGTGAAGAAATTTTGGCAATGACGGTGATGGAGTTTGTTTCATTTACTCAGAAAAATCATAGGCTTGAACCTGCCACGCTTGTTCTCCCACAGATTTTAAGTGCCATCAACTAAAATGTGCGTGGTAAGTAAGAACACTTGTCAATTTATGCTCAATCCTCAGTACAGGCAAGCTTAAGACATTGAATTTTCCAGCTGTTTCACACCCCTTTAATCACCAAAACAAAATCTGAATAAACTATGAATAAAACCTGCATGTTATTTTCTGTGCTGTTTGAGGCTGCAGAATTCATGCTAGCCCCTTCCAGCATGAAATTTGACCTGGTGCACCTTTGTAGAGTGTCGAGCACACAATTCTCTGTTTCTCACTGCTATAACATAATACAAATATCAAACAATAATTGAAAAGAGACAAATGACAGATTTTAAAAAATGTACCTAGAAGTAAATTATATGCACTTTGCAGGTAAGAAAAAAACAGCCACAAACATTTCCGAGAACATGAAGCATTTTGGTGGCTGTAATGCATCAGCGTACAAAGTGGTTGACTTCAAGTAAAGATTTTTCTCATTTGCAAATTTGTTGTTGATTCTGTCAGCTGAATACAGTTAATGGGCAAGAAACCAATGCATCCTTGATCTCCCTTTTGATGTGCTGTTTTACGTCTTTCACAGAGCTTCTAAGTAAGTTTTTCATTTGTGGAAAATGGGTAAGACACGAAGATACAGAGTTCTGATATATTACACTGTTTCTTTTAGAAAGCTGTTAGAAGCGGGCTATTCAATGCTTATCCAAAGCTGATATATTTAAACTATAGGAAGAACTATAAGATAGAGACACTCGATATTCACCTTAACAGGGTTTACTGACCTGGTAGGTAGAAAGTAATGTTCATCCACAGGAAGTCAGTGGGTGCATGGCTACGTATGTTCCAAACACTTCAGTATACAGCAATCTTCCTATCATAGTCTCACTTTCAAAACGACAAGTTTATTCTCTTAAACAAAAAAAGTCTGAAAGACAGAAAAATCTTTTACAATGACTGCAGCAAACCAGGGTGTTTTCATTTATGTATCGTCCGACTAGCTAAGGTTATCTCAGATCTTAGTAACAGACTTTACAGGAGAAAATTCCTGCTCGTACTCAAGCAATCACCAGACAACATTCCTCTTGTATGAAAATAATATACCTTTAATTTATTTACAAGACTGACCAACTGGATGAAGTGGCTGTACTTCAGATGCACTGCAAGAGCTTTCATTAGTGAACTATGTCACTATTCATATGTCTGTATTTTCTTGATATCAGTTACAAAACATACAATCAAACGAATCATGAAAGGGTTGTGAAGAGTGAGATAAAAGGAATGTACACAGCAATGAGACAGAAGTTAAGAGAAAAAAACAATGAAAATCTTTCTATACCCACTTTCAAAAATGTCATTCTAAAAGGTGAAAATGTTTGTTTTTTTTTTTTCACTACTTAGTAGATAATATGGATTGATTTTTTCACTTAATGTCAAATCTACAGTAAAAGCCAGTATGTCTCAAATTTGCATGCTAGCTAGCAACATCTGTCAATTGTACCAAAGTTTACTATACATTGAATTCTTCTGGGAGCTTTGACATCACTAAGTGGTGAAACATGTAGGACATTAAGATAAGAAAATATAATTCTATTTCTTACCTTCTGGCCAGCCATTGGCAACAACAAATTGAGCAGCTGTTAATATTTTCTGTCATTTTATATCTCCCATAAAAGTGCATGTAAAAAAATTCACAGAGGTGCTAGGTAGCATACAATTACAAGAGAAAGTCTTGGGTTTCTCTGATACATTCAATTTGCTAATTTTATGCACTAAAATGAAAGATAAGATGCAGACATTGTGGTATCAGTTCTTTATCTTTGGTAAAATGTTTTCATTTTATTATAGCCATATTTGCTCTGATATCCATTTTGTGCATGGTCTGCTATTATTTAAACCAACAGGAAACATTTCAATGGATATAAACAGTATCAGTGTATTATTTAGTACATTCATGACTTTCTTCATACATTCTTTGAGAACGTTGCTAGCATATGGGGAAAATGAGCAAATGCTACTATCTATTATGATTTACTCCCGGTTTAACATAATACTTTTACTAGTTCTTGCCATCAGGAAAAAAACCGTTTTGTTTTGCTTTTAAAAGAAAGGGATTGATATGACTCTAAGAACAATAAATTCTAAAAATCTGAAGTGAAAATACCAAATATTTTGTACTTTCTTACAAATGCTAAAATAGAAAATTACACTGGAACCAACTTAAAATTTGATACTATGACCCATCTAAGTAAACAACAAAAAAGGACCACAGAGAACATCAACAATTGCTCCAAGGTGTTCCAGTGATGGTCAGTAAGCAATCACTGTCTTTACTGTCTTAAAAATCCATGTTTGCCTCTCTCTCACCATTTATATCAGTATTAAAAGAAAGAGGAAAACTAGTTTTAAAGCAGCACTCTCCAGCGACAAGTCATACAGCAAATTCACATTGGGTTCTGGGTGGTCTTTGCTACACTTGGACATATTAATGATGCAAACTTGACCGTATGAACCTAAGTTATACATACACAGTTATGCCTCCAAATAGCTACTAATTACACTAAATCAATTTGGCAAAGTGAGGGAGTTCAAGATCCCTACACCTGAAATACTCAGATGCTGCTGCATTCACGTCAAGAATGAGTTATATTACCACAGCTCATACCTGGGGACCCTGAAACACTGAATTTCATCACAAAACCAATCCTTGCACGTACTTTTTATATATGCAATTTAATATGAATACTGGAAGCCTTTGGAATCATGATTTCAATAGAGAGTAAGGTCTAAAATTTTTCTAAGTTCTTGTTTCAGGTCTTTTTGTTCTTCTTGTTGTTGTCTTTTTATTTGTCGCAAGCAGGTAATGGCAAGACACTCCACGCGTATAGGCTTGGGTCTGTTCTGCTGGCTTTATTCAGACGAGCCTTCCTCAGTCATGCCAGCAGTGACACTGGACAAAACAAAAAAAGAACTCACAGGGGCAGGATCAAGCTTGTGGTGTCAATATTTAAAAAAAAAAAAAAGCATTCACATTGTGTCTATGCTCACATCTTAATTCTTCAACACTTAGTTTTAGAAATAACAGATGGGTAACAGTAAAAAATGCAAATGACACCGTTCTGACCTATTCTTTGACACAGTATTATTATTTTCAGTATCTCAGTATCATCAAGAACAACACAAATGTGAAGCTGCAATTACTGTAGAGGTAAAGTCTAATATTCCAATGATTTCCAATGAACATGGCACTTTCAAATTTAAATTAAGTTTAAATTTCAAACTCCAAATTAACTAACAAGACTGTTTATAAGGGTATAATGAAAAACTGCCCCTGAAGAGCACAACGATTTAACAAAAAAGTTATTTATTACCAGAAATGGATAAAAAAAAGGAAGATGCAGAAATGGGGAGTGGAGTAATACAGTTTCAATACAGGTATTTGCACCAGTGAAAATCATGCTCTTAGCGAGTCACTGATAGCTCTGTCACCGACGACTGATGGTCTCTACCCATGTACAAATGTAGTAAGCCACTTCCCGCTGCTGCGGTGCCCACAGAGATGCAACACACACATTAAAACGCAACAAATTAGTGCCTGACTGTCCTAGATGCTGGGCACTCTCAGCTCCTGACAAGCCCCTCAGTCTAAACCATAGCATAATCCTGACAATAATTTAGTGGTCAAAGTCTCAGGAATTTAAAGACCCTGTCACTTTTTTGCTTTCTTTGCTTTTTTCAGTATATCACACTTTTTTCTGTTAGGACGCCGGCATCTTTCATCAATGCTCGGTATACATTCATAATGCCATACTTCTTCCATTTTCTCCACAGGGTAAACTGCCTCCACGTAATGACGGATCAGTCTCAGCCTGATCGGATCGAGCTGTTTTTTGTTACAAGCACCTGAATGGTTGTATTGCAGTCTGAGATTCTCCGGAGTAAAGAGTTCTCTTACGAGAAGCCTGGCAGCAAAGTTGCCGACCGACAGGCTCTGCTGCACTATCTCTCTTACCTCCTTATCAGACAGCAAATACAGAGAAGGCACAGGGAAGTCTGGATTAGGAACAACGAGTTCATCGAGTGGTATCTTGCAAAAATCCTTGCTGCTTCTTTCCGGTGGCAGCGGTGGCCCTTCAAATTCTTCTCGAAACCTCTCGGGGTTTATTACATAGCTGAGAAATTCCCTCCTGTCGGGCCCTGGCACGTGGATTTTCCGTTGCTGTTGGTACGAGCGCCTTTGCTCCGTGTCTCTTCGTCGACACCTCTCGTCAAGCTTTCCAACAAACTCCAATGTCCACACTCTGTCATTCTTTGCTCTGGGGTACAGTATCTGCACATAATGTCGAATTAATTTAATTCTAGTAGGGTCAAGCTGTTTCTTGCCTAAAGATCCACTACAGTTGTATTGCTTCCGTAAGTTTTCATGAGTAAACAGTTCAGGAAATAAGAGAACAAGCAATCGAGAGGCAAAGTTGCCTATGGAAAGACTGCTTTCATATATGCTTTTAATCTGTTCTTTGTTCAACAGGTAATCTGGGACAGGGACATCAAAATCGGGAGGGGGAAAGTCAAGTTTATCAAAGTCTATGGGTACAAGCCAAATTTTTTTTGAGCGTCTGCCAGGTTTTTCGTATTCAAAACTGTCTTCCACTTTTATGATTGATACATCATCTGGTAAACTAGAAGAATCGTAACAGTCATCTCTCATCTGATCACATTCACTTCCATCCATATACGTATTTTCAAGCTCATCGTTTATTCGCTGAACACATTGCTGCAACCAGGCTTCCTCTTCTTGCACATCTGGAAAGTAAATTTCAGTGTACCTACGGATTATTTGAAGCCGATGAGGATCCAGCAGCTGTTTTCCAGAGTCTCCAAAGCAGCTGTACCTTTCGGCTAATTTTCTGTGGTCAAAGAGTTCTGGAAACAATCTGTGTAACAAAAAAACAGAAAATTCCCCTGGAGAAGAAGCTTCATCTAAAAATTCATTGAGATCCTGAGCATCCAGCATGTAATCTGAGGCAATGGCATTACTCCTGTCCAAGGACAAAGCTTCCTCCTGCTCTTTATCCTCCATAAAATGAGAGGATTCAACCTGCTCAGTCTCATAAAAACTGGACGATTGCACACCTTGCTGACTGTTTTCCATTTCCCTTTGAGCCCAAAATCTATTGAAAAAATCGTTGACTTGAGGCAAACACTCTACCTGCCACACAGCCGTATTCTTCACTGAAGGATAACAAACTTCCACATAGTTGCGGATAAGCTGCAGATGAAGAGATTCAAGTTTCCTTTTGTTGAGAAAGCCGCACGCGCTGCAGCTTCTGCTGAACTCATCGTCGCTGAAGAGCTCTGGGAAGAGCTGCACTAGCAACCGGCAAGCTAGGTCTCCGCCTGACGTGCTTTGATCCATGATTTGTTTAAGCTCCGCAGAAGTCAGCTGGTACTCTGGGGGAGGCTTGAAGTCTGCAACGGACTCTGCTGGACTGACTTGCTTTTTAATTCTGCTAACCTCCAGAGACAATAGGTCAACTTTACTGTGAAGCTGAGTCATATTGGTATTGAGGGTGTTAAGCGTGTAAAACATTTTCTGTATCAAAGAATATATATTTGGGTCAGAATCTGCGGTGGCCGCTGTTACGGCAATGGCTGCAGCCGAGTCCCTTTTGCGTTGGTCGTTTAAAGTCCGAAGATGTGAGGGACTGCTGGGGTTGATTTTTTCAAACAACTCATAAGAAGCAAATTGCTCTGCTCCTGGTGGGTTCTTCTTCTCCGTGATTTTGTGTGAGATGCCATAGAGAGGTTTTTTATAAGATGGAGTGGTTATGTCACTGAAGGATTCTTCTTCACAGAGCCACGTTACATTAGGATTCTTGTTCTTGTTTGGCTGCTCTGCATTAACCTGAGTGGGTGAGCCAGCATCTCTGTTCTTCATGTTTGAAAGGGGGCCCTTTGAATGAATAAATATTGTATTAGTAAGGCTGCCTTAAAAATATTAGCTATAAATATCCACCCCTTAAGCAGGCATTGTTACATTAATAGGCAAAGTCAAATTTTCTCCAGAGGACTTAGTTGTGTTAAATACATCAAAATTAATAAATTCACTAGGAAAATAAAAAATATAAATACAGTAAAGTATTATTTAGGGTTCTATTTTTTTTGTTTTGGCTCATGGCTTTCTCCATAGAATAAAAATGCAAAAATAATCCTTAGTCGTCTTTACCCACAGGGCTCTAAATACTCTCCCAAATGAAGTATCATTATGCTTCACCTTGCATATGAGGATCTTGGGCTGTAGAGAATTTGGGTGGCAACAAGTCAGCAACAGAGCCAAGAATAGAATCTAGATTTTCTGACTCCTAGTCCTGTGACCTTGCCAGTGCCTCCAACAACTGCATTTAACGTTCCAGCACTCTCTTTAGGTTAGCATTTGAAAATACCACAAAGGCTGTAAGACACCAAAATTATGCTTATTCTTTTCTTTCTGATGTGAAAGGTTTATAAAGATAAAAAACCCCTATATAATGGTGTACAACTCCTAAACAAGTTATAAGAATGACTGCAATTTTTAAAAAGTATTCTATTTAAATAATAAAAACTTAAAACCAACATGAAAAGTACTTCAGTATTGTCTTTTTAAAAAGGGAAGCTTAAAATTTCTTTATTTCTGAAAGGCAGGGAAGTTGAGACTCATAGGTTTCTAATTTTCTAAATTATTCATATTAAACCCAGTAATGAGCTCTTAAGGAATTAATGTTCTCAGTAATTTATAATTCTTCCTCATTGCTTGAAATTGGAAGCAAGCATTTTCATCAACTCACAGCAAATATGCAGGGCTTGGGTGGGTTGGGTTGTTTTGCAAACACATGGATATTGCAAATAATTCTTAGGAAGTTAAGTAGATACAATAGAATCAAAATCCAACATACAGTATTCAAACATGAGAAAACACTCACAGATTTTAAAGAAGACTGTAGTGAAATATTTTCCTTGGCTTCATCCACAGAACATTAATTACATAAAAAACACAGAATTTGCATTCAAATATTACAACAAATGGAACACAGACTTGAGGTCTGAGCCAGCCAGAAGCAATGGGAAAACCTAGTGAAGACCCCACTATGTCCTACAATGAGGAACTTGAATTAAGGTTCCTTTCTGAAAAAAACCCAAAACAACAGAACTGTAACACTCATGAAATTAATCTGAACTCTATGTGTACTTACACTTGGCATCTGCTTACTGCAGTGACAAACTGAATCTAATTACTTTTTAATTTCTAATGCAAAGTAGACTCAAAAGAGGCTCAAAAAGAACATGCTGATTTCCACTCCAAGTTTAGAAACCAGCAGACTCAATTAAATTGAAGTTGTGTTTCCAAGTTCTGGTCTCATTCACATCATACAACCCTACGCATGAAACCTCGTGTTTTCACATCCCAAGCTGGGTGGATGGACAGATGATACAATAAAAGCCTAAGGCAAAGGCAATACACTTCACAGTGCGCAGAATCCCCAGCCGTGGTGGTGCCTAGGGCACTGGACTTCCAGTTTCCCATTTAGAAGACCATCCCTCCAGTCCCACTCATATTAAAGCACATTTGCTATGAGGACAGTGAGGTTCGGGGTCCTGTAACACCACCAGCTATTAAAGGGTGACTTTTACACCAGCAAATGGTATGATACATCCTAACTAAATCAGCTCTTTGTAACTTGTAAAATATCAGAACACGAGAGACCAAATTGTGAGCAGACTGAGATCAACATTGCTCCCACCTAACCGTAGGCTCCTACGCTGGGACTGAAGTCATCACACATCACCTATACTTGTGAGTGGTGAAACAGAGGTATTTCCAGATGGTAACAGAGCTCTCCCAAACGGACATCACCTGAAAACAGGTCACGAAAATCTCCACTGATAATAAACGTAGTTCTGCTCCCCAGTCAGACACTCAGACTGAATTACACATTCCTTTTACTGTTTTAGATCAAAAGAACAAAACTGCAACTCTGGAGAACACATTTCTTACACAGGCAGTGAGACCTGCTACCTACGTAGCTAGCTCTTCCATAAACATTCCCGTTCACAGAGATTATTCCAAATATTCCTTCACATACAGAGTATGATTCATTCAATTCCTTCTCTACTGAATAGCTTGCCACAGACCACCAGTTGTCTGTCAGTTCTCATCAACACTCCTGCCATACCTTTTCTCTAAATAATTATATATGAAAACTTGGCAATGTGGGGGTAGCTTCTATTAATGCACACCTCACACACAGAGCTGGGCCAAAGCAATATTAGAATGTGTATTAAATAACACAAATTCATTGCCCTAGGTATTTTATTGCACTTTGACAGTGAGCATTGTGAAAGTCTGCATTCTCAGTTTTGGACACGGTGCTCTGAAGGAGGAGAAGTGTTCATGCAAAGAACTGCACCAGATCGCAGCAGAACTTCTGCCCTTTCACTAAGGCGGCTCACAGTGTTTGGACCTGGTTGCGGGATGGATTTGGTTACCTGCATTTCAGAAACACAGTCAGTGTTCGACTAACAGATGACAACACATTTGGGCGTATATTTAAGGATTTTCTATTTCAAATGCATTCTGGTTTTCTTTCCTTTTGCGTTTAACTATCTTGTCTTTATACAGTTCCTGTCTGGGAACAGCACTATCCACAGCATAAATACATAATCTCTTCTAAATTCTCCAGTTAAAATAGTATTTCATATTTTTAATTAGTTTTCTGTAACACTGATCTTTAAACATCAATGTATTTCGGATAATACTACACCCATTTAAGATGATCAGTTTTAATGCTCCACCAAAAAACAAGCAAAGATACTGTTCTGTGAGACACAGTAACAGTATACGTAAGATAGTGCTGCTTTTTACACTGTATTTGCACTTAAAGTTTTTATATTATATACATTCTTTGAACATTTGCAAAATGCAGTATTTTGGTAAACATCAACCAATATAAGTAATTGCGAAATAGTCTCTCACATTATCTCTCGGAGTCCTAAGCCAAGTTTTAAAAGTTGTTTAGTTATTGCTCTGTTCAGTGCTAAAGTCCAGCTAATTTATGACCTTTATTACGCTTAATAAACAAAGTCTAAATACGTGTAAGAATACAGAGCATAATATTCTAGCATATGAGTAAAGAAGAATAAATATATAAGCAAGAAACGTATAAAAAGATTCTATCAAGCACATGAGAACTTGGAAGTGTCTTGCACATACATTTTTTACACTTCCAATCTTCTACACTTTTTTTTTAAAAGAAAATTAGGGATAATGAATTTCTGGTTATGATGTGACAATCAGAATTTTAAAAAAGCAAAATATCTTCTGATAGAAAGTAATTTAGTAATATAATCACCAGCCCAATAGTACAGTTATATAACATAAAAAGTACAGCTCTGCTTATATCATACATAGATGCCTGTGCAATGTGTAGTAAAAATATACTGCAAGCACAATATTCTCCAAAATAATTAACATTTTGTCCTCTGTTTAAACAGAAACAGTTAATGAAGTCATCAACTAGAACAAAATATTGTTACTAGAAAAGTAATTCACTTTAAAAATATTGTTAGGATTGCAGACTGTTTCTGGTTGGTTATTTAACTAAACATGCTGATTCATTGGGGTCAGTGAAGAATGAATTTTCATCATTGTTACTGGGTCACTTTGCAAGTCCAAAGTTATAATTCATTATAACTTTCATTTGAACATCAATTCATTTCAAATTAAATTTAAAAATTTATTATAGGCAAACAGCAAACAGTAAAATCCAAAGCAAGCACAGTTCAGAGACCATTATGAAGCTCTTTTGAGAATCTGAATGTAAGTAAAACAATTGTAAAAAGAAAAAGAGAAAGGAAAAGAAACAAACCATGTAATAAGATTAAAACCTACGTACCACAGGCATTCAGGGGAAAAAAACAGCCCCGAGAAGTCAGAGAGATGAGTCAAGAAAAAGAAATATGAAGAACTATGGCTAGAAAGGAGAAATGAAATGCACAAATACAACACGGAATAACTGGCTAGGTAGCAGAACAGCAGAAAAGGATATGTGCATTAGAGTAGGTCATAAACTAAATATAACCCAGGGCCTGAAGTTATTCAAAAGAGGATGAATTTGAATCTAGGTTATTTTAATAAAGTGCTGAGTGTGACAAACAGGAGGTCATTATACGGCTCTAGAGAGTGTTAGAAGAGATGTGACTATCCAACACTGGACACTACCCTTTCAGGAACCTCAACGAGAACAACAAAAATATAAGGTGACTTATATCCTGAAGAAGAGCTGAAAAAATAGAATTTTAGTCTCGGAAACGAAGGGCTGAGGGTGATCAACATCACACCAATTTTCCCACATGCAGAAGACTTTCCTAGGAACAGATGATCACTGCTCTCCCTACTGAAAAGAACAAGGTCAAAAAGAAACTTGCTCAATTTCAGCAAAGACTAATGAAAATCTCCAACTGCTAGAGACATGAAACAGTAGAACAGGGTAACGGAAGAAAGTGGGCATCTCCTTCACTGGATGGACGAACATCTGGATTGTCACAAGTGGGCTGCTGCACCAGAAGCTGTAATACATTCTACTCTTGATATGCTGAAGTCTTCTGCATCCCTGCCTTTTTATCTTTCAAATAATACACAAACTTATACCTGTCTCACTGACATAAAAACCTGTGTCACAGAAGGAAGAATTACAGCCCTGATTCTACCACTGAGGATCCAGCTGAAGGACTGTGTGACACGAGAGGGACTGTAATCAGTCACGCTCAGTTAATCCAAATCACTACCTGCTCCTACGTTCTCTGACAAACAACAAAAATATACTTCAAGTGAATGAATTAACATATAACTGTATATCGTAGATATGATCGCTCCCATATGATCTTTCCCTGGTAAAGAAATACCCAGACAAGTAATGTGCGCAAACTAGGTTAAGATTAGCCATACTTGCTCCAAACTCGTTACTAATGCAAATCTAGTTAAATGACTTGCATTTTGCTTATAGCAGCAATGAATTTAGCCTATGAAATATGAACAGAAAAATCACACAGTCATGTATAGAGAAGTCACCTCTTGTGTAAAGCGTCTTTTCTTCACACTGGGTAAGACATCTTGCTGGCTCCCTGAACCATCACAACCAAGTGAGGTCTGTTTCCGTTTGTTGGAATCCTGTAAGCAAGTAACTGCGCCATCCAGTGAGTGTTTCTCAGCAGATCTGGATGTTACCGAGCAGTCTAAAGCTTCATCTTCATTTTCTGTTTCTACTTTCACAACACTTTTTTTAGGAATTTTTGCTGGAAAAAGAGAAGGTTTAGAAAGATAAAGCACTCTCTCCAGAAAGCTGTGACACCCTTAATACAATCTTTTGTGGTTTGTTTCTTTTTATGAAAATGTGTTTTGAAGAATACAATTATTTTTTTATAACTTGTAAGATAAGTGTTTGCTGAGGCCACCCCAAAGTCTAGTTTTTATTATGCTAGGAACCATTCAGTCATCCAGTACATGACAGTTTCTTCCCCAAAGAAGAGTCTAAAGTATAAACAAATAAAGTTACAGGAGGAAGATTTTTTTGCAGGGGGAGGAAGAATGTAGAGCAGAAAATATAACGAGTAACAAAGATAATGATGTATTTTAGATAGCCTTTTAAAAAAACATTAATGTGATTTGTCTTGATCCAAGTGCATTCTTTATCAGGTTACAAAGGCTTTAATTCAACAAGTAAATTTGCCTGATCGTAAATTACACAAAGTATACTATTTTACCTTCATCATCATCAGTGATTTCAGCTGAATTCATCTTCTATCTCACTAAAGAACAAAACAAAAACACAAAAATAAATATCAGCATCTTCTGGAATCAGGAAATATTTGCATCTGTTTTTATAATTAATCTAGAGCCACTGGGCATTAACAGCCCACAGATAATTTCCAGTCTGTACATTTTTAATAACTAGCTATTTTCAGTAAATGTCGTGGCCATCTATAGACCTGCCAACATGCAAACTACACCGCAGACAACACACGACAGCTAGGAAAGTATTTAAAACTATAGGTCTTCTTCTGGTATGGAGAAAAGTCAAAGTCATTTTAACCTCCTCTGTAAAGTATCTTGGCAGTATATATATGGAAGTTAACTGTATTAAACTCTCCATCCTGTGCCAAGTCACTACTCCTTATTACAGTCAAATATTTTTATATTGTCACTGTGGGTGACCCAAAGTCATTACAGAAGGAAAACTCATCATAAACTCTAACATACACGTTGGAGTGAGTTTCCATTTAAAAATCTTTGATCTTCTGATATGGATTGCATCAATTCAAGCAGAGCAATCTGCAGGTCTACAGTAACTCCTTTTTTTCTAACTGTCAGCCTCTAAATAATGTAAGAATTTTTTTGTCTGGAAAAACAAATATATCTATTATTCTAGCATGATTTTAGCATTACTTCTCACATGAAAGACTCAGCTGTATTGCTGTTCCCTTGAAAACTAATTTTGCAAGTTAACTGGGGGCAAACATCAATCTGTGGACGCGTTTCTAAAAGATATTCTAAATCTTTTGGAGATCTACAAAGCAAACAACCTCATCAGATCTCACTGACCGTTACAGGGCACACAGCTGCAAACTGACACCCTCAACTAGTAAGCTGGTGACTGGTAAACTGTCACACACCGTTCATGTTCATCTACACCCAGCGTTATGTTTACTTGGCCCTAGAATATTATTACTTGACATTTTCCACAATTACATTCTTCTTTCAAATAGTTTTCTTTCAACTGTTCCTGCCTATCCTGTAGCCAAGGTCTGAAATCAAGACAAGCTTCTCTCCGGCTGTAGCAAATGAATAAAACCAATCAATCAAAAGTGTATGTACAGCCCAGGAGTGGAATTGTAATGAAATTTAAAAGAGAGATGAGGAGAGAAAGAGACAGAGAATCTGTTTTGGAGGGGGAAAAAGTCTCTACCTCTCTTCTGAATAGCACTGAATAGAAATTTATTTTTTTAAATCTCAAAATACTGTTAAAAAACTCTGTAAACACTTGAATGCTGTGTAGCTATGATTTTTTTTGTTCGTCAGCAACTGACTGCCGTTAATGGTAAGTACAAGGTCCCATTCTGGATAGGTGTTTGTAGGATTGCACTACAATGGGTAGCACACACCTCCCAAACAAAAGATGCATGGAGTTACAAAACCAGTTCGTACTGGGCCACTCCAGAAGCCAAAATACCCTTTGATGTGCTGATATTCCACATGGTTTTTATAGACAGCCTTGTAAAGAGCATCCTCAAGACGATAATGTGAGATTGTCTTCATCATCACATCACCAGAAAAAGTCTCTCTCAGTTGGATGCAGAACTACTACAAACCCCTTAAATGTCTAGTCTTTTTACACATCATAATCCCCTATTTCAGGACTTGCATTTATGAATTGATCCACATATAAATTATGCCAGCTTAACAGTACCACAATAACTTCACTTGGACTTCTGCAAACTCTGTAGGGACATAACAGCACGAAACCAAGTGGCCCACACCAACTTTTAAACCACCTGATAAGCACCGGTGAGGGTTAATATCAAGTCTTACTAACTCAACAGTATTTAGGAATTTAGACACAGCCACTATAGCTCTTTATGAAAAATCCTAAGACAGTGTACCAGCACCATCAAAAAGCTACATTGGACCTTAAGAAAAGCACATAGTAACAAATGTTCATATTTGGCCCTGATACCCCAGATACACCGATTCAGTGTCTACATCTTTCTTACACTTTTCCACACCGCCCTAGGCTTAGCTCTGCAGGACGGGGTACAAGACCAACATATGGCAGTGCTCAAGAAGTGTGACACATAGGCTTTTTGTGAGGGTCTGAGGTCACAGCAAGCACATCTGCCGATACCACTACAAAATATTCTGTAATGGAAATCAAAATGGTTTTCCAGATAATCCTAGACGGCTCTAACAGAGCAAAACTCGAAAAGACGGTGAACACAGAGCCAGAAGGGAAGACTATAAAGGTGGGCAGAACACAAACTATTTAGGAGGGGATATAGGGAATTATATTTTCCTTTTGCTATTACTGCTATTCAAATAGGAAGAATGCTTTAAGAGAATTCCTCTGAGAGAAATGAAGCCAAGTGGAAGCAGAAGATACATGAGGATCTGAATAGCCACTCTTTAAAACTGGAAAAAAGTGAAAACTAAAGCAAAGCACATACCCTGGTTAACAGTTAACTTTCTAAAGGAGGCAACATCAGGAAGACCAAAGCTGTCCAAAACTCAGGACAAATAACATTAAGTCAAAACATTGTTTCACAAATTTGAAACAAAGTGTTAGCACTTATTTTGAATTTTTTCTTTAATTTGAAAACTGCCACAATACAACTAAAAGTGAATAGTCAAAACCAGCATCAGGATCAATGAGGCCTAGGAAGACTGGGTTTCATATTTGAACTCTTTGGTGCCAAAGCAAGCACAGGCTTCCAACCTCTTCCTTTTCAGGAGTCCTAGTAACCTCTCTCTCCTGATCTGATTTCCCGTCTTCTTTGCGAGATTTGTAAGAACTCGGGTATTACAAGAAAATGAAGCACACCTAACAGCTGCTGTCAAGAGACAGGATTCAGCTGCCCCTCTGATGTCCTGCCTCGCAGTCCCACCTGCTCCCTTGGTCAAGCATGGGTGCCCACCTTAACCTTCAGTGAGCTCTTCCATCCTGACAAACTGACAAAACAATTCACTTCTTTCTTTGCCGGGCTACTTTTCTTCTAATTCAGAGAGGTAAAGGGTAAAGCAAGTAATCGGAACCAGCTCAGGAGTATGCACAAGGTTTGGGATGGAAAGGAGGAATTAAAATCTCTCTCTCTCATACCAGCAAGCCGCTGGCTTGGTTCAACCATTTCACGAAACTTCACTTATCATCTATTTACACCACCATCTCACTTCAAATTTGGGTAGCAATGGACTCACAAGTGAGTAGTGAGCGGACACAGAGATATCAACAGAGCAATTGCATCATCACTTCCATAGGAAATTAGAGCCTATGGGAAGGGGGAAAGTCTGTGTGCGTGCGTGAGCATGTCCACGCATGTGTGCCTACCTAGGTAAGGTTAACAATAATTTTGCTGATTGTTTAAAGTCTGCTAAAGATAAAACATTTCAGATTCTTTAAAACACTGTCTGCAGTGAACCAGTACTTATGAATAGTAATTATGGCCTCCATAGAACAGGCAGCAGTGTCAAAATGTATTTGGAGGTAGCATTCTGGCCCAGATTGTGAGAACAAACAAAGCTGGAGTAAAAAAGACCTAAAAAAACTTGGGTCAAAATAGTGCAAAAAGCAATCGAGTAAGAAATCCATCCAGAAAAGCAAACACTTGACAGTTGTTCCTTGTCATGTTGAGTATACAAACATATTTCATTCTTACCTTATACGTCTTTTTTCAAAACAGAAGATAAATCTATTTTTCATCCTTAGCCTAATACTGACTCAACGTTATCCACAGGACAGCAGTTAGCTAGTTTTAGGAAGGAGTGAACACCCCGTGCTGAAGTTGGGAGCCCGGGTTTGCAGCCGTGACTGGCACAGCAACCAGCCTTGGCAGCTTTACCTTGCTAGGATACAGACGGATGCTGCAGTACGTCCTATTTTCTGGTCAAAAGAGGATCTGGAAGGAGGATTCCAAAATATGCCAAACACCTACAACAGCAGCTACGTCAACAGCCAGACCTTGATCCTAATTAAGTTGATTGGAACTGTAGCCTAAGCGCCCATGTGTCTGAATTTTAGCTGAAACTTCTTGTATGTCCACTTGAACTGACCAAGAAAACAATGCTTTACAAAATATGAACATAAGCCTTAAACTTCAAGTTTTATGATTTTGCTTGTAAATATTTCAATTTGTGAACCAAGTTTAAAAGTATTTTCTTCGGGTTCTTTGGTTTCTATCTTGTGTATAAAGTTAAATTCCAAAGAATGTGCGAACGGTTCAGAACACCTAACAAAATAGGTCTACAACAGGTAAATGAACACACCGATTCTTTTCGCTTACGCTAAAACATGGATAAAACTCAGAAACCATAACTCTTGTAAACCTGACTATGGATCCTACACCTCTGAACACTAAAAATTAAGTGAATAGCTAGTAGTCTCACTTTTTCTTCAAAAGAGACTCTCCCTTTGATTAATGGCTGGCTGCTTCTAGTACAGTCATTAGCTAAACCTATCTAATGTAGGATAAACAGTAAGATGTGTAGCGCTTGGACAAATTCAACAATCAAGGAAGAGGAGGTAAACAGACCCCTTCCTCAGAACACAAACAATAAATCATTAGATTTTACTGCCTACATTTCATCTATTGCGAACGGTCTTCTTGAAAACAGCACATAGTTTATAACTTCAATGTAATCAATGTCTCAAAAATAAACACCTTGCTGACATATCAGCACGTACTCACCTTCCCATCTAAACTGCCTTGATAGCTACGAGTGCCGGTACAGTACAGCCACCTCTGCTGAGCCACTGCCAGGTGTCGTGCAACGGAGCCTGTGTGATGCCAGCGCTCACCTGGGAAGACAGAAACATTCCTTTGGGCTCAGCCCTCCAGACTCATCCACAGATCCTGACACTTCTCAAACAGTTCAAAAAGATGACCCAAAAAGGATGGTTTTCTTAAGGTGATTAAAGCTTTGCTCTTCTAAGAGAAGTGAATAAAAATACCTCGATTTGCAAACACGAAAATGAGGATACTATTCTTTTTAAGCTAACGTACGATGAGCCTATTTGTAGAGAACTGACA